AGTTCATTTAGTAAGCATTTGAAAAAAGTAATGTATTACCGTTTTTCACACTTATGACCCTCCCTATGGTCACATGATCAAAATTCAGATCCTTGGCAACTGACTCATAATTGTGACGGTTGCAGTGTCCTGGGGTCACGTGATCCGCTTTTGCGACCTTCTGACAAGATAAAGACAATGGGGAAGCCAGATTCACTTAACAACTATGTTACTAACTTAACCACTCCAGTGATTCCCGTGATAACTGTGGCAAGAAAGGTTTTAAAATGGGGCAAAATTCACTTAACTAATGTCTCACTTAGCAATACATTTTTTTGGACTGAATTGTGGTCGTAAACCAAGGATTATATGTATCTACTTGCCATTTTCAGAAAACAAATGGTTGTCAGGCCTGGAAGTGATCTTTTGCTTTGGACCTTCCGGCCTGCCACATTTAATGCTGCGGGAAACTGGGAGGGGGGGTGGATTATATGGAGTATGGGAGATACATAGTCTAAATAACATTCCTTTCTCAGAGAGTCAAGGACATCTTACCCTGCACCTGGAGTGGCGTGACTGGGAGGCATCTCCAGTTGGGACAGTGCCTGATTGGATCATGTGAGGGACATGCGGGTGCTGGGTAGGGACTTGAACTTTCTTTTGGGTGGGGAAAACCTGGAAGCTTTCAGATTCGGGTTTTCCCAGATGTGCCAATATGACATCTCAAATAAAATGGAACTTCAAGTCTCAGAGTCTTCTTTCTTGCTTGGTACCCTGACAATAGCTACATTTAATTGTAATGAAATCTGACTCATGTTTATAAACTTATGCAAGGAGGATTAACTTAGTTTACCTCTTTTTGTGAAAAAGGTTGCAATAACTATTTGAAATAGCAAAATATCCCCAGTGGTGGCTTCTCTGGCCTTCAAAAGTGCCAGTAACTTCCCTACTCAAAAGAGGCTCTTTGGAATCTTTAACTGCTGATTGCTCTCTGACCAACTTGGGAGGAGAGCACTCTTTACACACACCAGCAATGTGTGTGTGTTTGTGTTTCAAGGTAAAGTGATCAATATCAGCAAAGACCAGTGAAAATTACTTAAAAGTGACTCATAGCTAGCATTATATTCCTATACAAATAACTAAAATGACCGGGGAGGGCCCATGCAATATAAGAGTTAGAAGTGTGGCAAAGCAGAGGACACATCTAGATATACAGTGAGTCCTTGTTTAAGGTCCATTCGTTTAGCAACCGTTCGAAGTTATAACAGGGTTGAAAAAAATGGACGTAGGACAGGTCCACAAACTTGGGAATTTTACATGCTCCTGAAGTCATGTTCAAACTCAAATTCGGACTTGTCTGCATTTACAACAAGCTGCGTGTCTCTGCTCATCCTCCCCCCACTACCCTGGGGCTTTGCATTGTGGCACAAGCACTATTGCAATGTTGCTTTTAGATCTTTTTCATATGTTTGTAGGTTTTAAAAATTAACATGGTTTTATTTATTTGTTTAAGTTATGATTGCTAAGACAATCCAAAGCCACTAAAAATGGCAATTATCTATCTATCTATCTATCTATCTATCTATCTATCTATCTATCTATCTATCTATCTATCTATCTATCTATCTATCTATCT